GGGCCAGAAGGCAGAAGGGGACAAGGAAGCTGGTGATAGGGAACCCAAGGTTGAGTAAGGATATTGTTGATGTGTTATGAGATTGTTAACCATTGTCATAGGGCAACATGTATAGTAACTGTTAAATGAGAAACTATTTTGTTCTGTAAGCCTTCATCTTAAGTGAGAATAGCAGCACAATTGGAAGAGCATAGTCATTGTCACTGAACTGTGCATGCATAAATTTTTGAAATGGTGTGCCTTTGGCTATGTGTATTTTCACCAAAACAAAAGGTTGCAAAGCTAGAGGGTTGGCATGTTGTGGGGTTGTTAACCAGTGTCATAAAACAATATTGTACTACTGTTTCATGAGAAACTATTTGTTCTGTAAGCCTTCATCTGAAGTACAATAAAAAAATAAAATAAAATAAAATAAAAAAATAAATCCAAAAAAAAAAGAATGCTTTCTGGCATCTGGAATCAGTGTTCTGAAAAACTGATATAGTGTATTATATTGTATTCACATCTGAAAATATATACTAAGGCAATATGAAATAAACAAAAATATGCTTCACATTGCTTTCCTTCTAATAATTAAAATCAGAATTTATCTAAATGTTAGCAAAAGCAGAAATGGTAAATGAATGATATTTTGAAAAGTATGTAATGGTGTGTGAAAATACAGCTAAATCATGTGTGAATAAAGCAAATAATTATATATGGCATGGCACAGTTATTTGAAAAGTATTTTAAAAATGCATAGAAAAATGCTTGAAAGAAATAAATCAGATATCTATAGTTTTTATTTCTGAATAAAGGGTATAAACAAATTGTCATTGAGTCAATTCTGACTCATGGCAACCCCGTGTGTTTCAGAGTAGAACTATGCATAGGATTTTCAATGGCTGTGACCTTTCGGATGTAGATCACCAGGCCTTTCTTCCAAGGCATCTCTGGATAGATTTGAACCTTCAACCTTTTGGTTAGTGGCTGAATGCTTAACCATTTGCTCCAAGCAGGGACTCCTAAAGAAGGGGTATGGGGCTATATGTATTTTCCTCATACATTTTCTGTATTTTCAAAATATTTTATTTTACAGAAATGAATTTTTTAAATTATTCATTAGCATATATTTTCTTTTCATTAACGTGTCATAAAAATATATTAGCAATAGCTCAGGATGGAAATATATACATTTATGAAAGTAATGAACTTCACAGGTTAGACAGAAATACAACATCAAGAAGCTAAAAAATAAAATGATGTCAGGTGGTCATGAGTATTTGCATTTTTTTCAAAAAGAATACTATCACATTCCAAGAAACTTCTTCTCTCAAAAAAAAGGGGGAGGAAGGGGGGATAATGTAATCTACTTTAAAGAGAAGCTTTAAGTTACTCTTTAAGAGGGGGGAATAAAAGACCAACAAGTGTTTAGTTATTTGCTGTTATAACAATGTAATAAAAACATGAGTGATGCTTCTGAGAACAGATGTTTATGAGAGTGATTTCACAGTCCTGTGGGAAGTCATTCTAATCTGTGATGAGAGACTCATCCAGGCCTCACAGGGAATTTCAAGCCTCTCTATCATTGCTGTAGTTAGATGTTTATACTTGTTTCTTGGATTCCTTAGACCAGAACTACTCAAAAATATATGCTGCTAGTTGAAGTACCTTATTTTCTCTCAAATCAACGAAATGTTTTTCCATATACATACATTTTTTCTGTGAGGATTATTAGAATTTGGTTGGAAAAGAAGTGCAGGAAACCCATAAAGTTATATTAGAGTGGAAATAAAATAAAAGCTGATTTATTGTAAAAGCCAGGAAGAGCCTCAGACTTCTAGCTACTATTTTCTATTATGCTTTGACCATGAATGGGAGTTTTCTTTAGAGATATAATATAAACCGATGAATTGTAAGCAGTACAGGGCATGAGGCTCATAATCCTAGAATGGCTAGTGGCATACCTGCTGCTACTACATAACAGCACATTGCTTTCAGAAACTCGATCAATAAAAACATCTCATTATATTGCATAAAATTAATTATATTGAATATTATCCTGCTGTAAAAAATCAACAAGAGCTAATTTATAATTTAAAAAATCAAAAACCTACCAGATACAGCAAGGAAGTCATCAATGCTTGTAATGTCATCGACAGCTTCGGTGAGGACATGTATGTGACTCTCCCACGTGCGCTTGTACATTTCCATGGTGTTTTTGACCACTTGGCTTTTGGGTCTTGCAGCCAAAGCAAGTGCGGCATTAATAACCTATAAAGATGTAGAATGTTTACATGGTGATTTCTTTGGGAATATTTATCATTGTGCAGGTGACAGATCTATATTTTTTTAAAGATTAGATATGGTCATCCTTTAACAACAGGGACACCAGTAAAATGCCCCACATGTAACTTCCTCTTTTGGTAATAATTTAATTTTTGTAATAATTTAATTTTAAAACTATTTATTGAGGGCCAATGCACCAAGACCTGCAGGAGATACAAAGATAATTGGTGACTATCTTTAAAGACCTCTTATATGACTCAACAGGAAGGCTAACTATATAATACTATAATGCAATCCAGTATACAATAAATACTATAAGAATGAATAATGGGCAATAGGCTTTAGAGAGCAGAGAGAGCACCTTCACCTAAATGCTAAAGAAAGGCTTCAGGGAAGAATGGTATTTGAACTGATCATTTGGATACACATGCACAATTACATAGAGAATGTCCATTATATGCAAATCCCTGGAATAAGAACTTTGACTTCCTTGAGTGCTTGTAGAATTTCACCAGTAGATATTTACTCACTCATTCATTCACTCAGTACATCAAATATATAGGTTCTAGGGACTTGGCAATGAACAAGACACAGGCAACAATCGGGACCTTCATTGAGCTTATTTTCCAGTCATGGAGACAGACAATTAGCAACTTAACTAAGTAAAATATATCATTAGATGGCTATAAGAACTAAGGAGAAAATATAAAGAAGGGAAGGGGGGTAAGGAGTACAGGGATGGGGATGGTAGAACATTTGCAATTTTAATAAGGCCTAGTGAACAAGAGGACATTTGAGTAAAATCATTGGTGGAAAGAATTTTGGGACAGAGATGTAGCAATATTCAAGAAGTGACAAAGCAGGAGAAATACTCAGAGAATGGTGAACGGTTTCATTTGGAGCCTGGGTATGCAGCAGGAGTTTCTGACTCTCCTGCTCAGGGATGTGGCCTTATTTGGAAGGTACCAGAGAACCCTTGTTAACTTTTGACCAATTCTCTCAGAATTACACTTTAGAAAAATGAATTTGGCAGCCAAACATAGGAGGCTACTGAAATACTTCACAGGAATGAGAAAGAGACCAGACTACCATGGTGGAGGTAATCAAAACAACTTGACAGGACTTTCAACTCGTTAAAGTAGGATGAGGATAGGTAAGAGATTATTGCCAGAAACACCATGCAGCCATTAACAATTCTGTGGAAAATAATATTTAAAGACATGGAAAAACTTCCACAACAGTGCAATAAAAATAGATTATAGGTTCTGGCAAAATGGCGCTCTAGGCAGAAGCACCATGCCATCCCTCCATAGCAAAGATCCGAAAAACTAAGCCGAACAGAGAATACAACAATCCTGAACCCTAAAACATCAAATGAAGAGATAAAGAACTCAGCCAAGCACCAAAAGGAGTGCGAAATCTGACAGAGAACGGAGAGCGAGGAGAGATTCATGCAGAGGTCCCCTACCAGCTAATGCAACGCGGATCTGCCATCTTGGACTCCTATCAGAGACCAGCAAATGGGGTATGAGAAAGCAGTCCAGTGGGAGACAAAACAACCGGTAATTTGTGATATACGCTTACCCAGCTCCCACCCTTCTTCACCCCCCACTCAGCCTCCTCTGCTTCCCGCGGCCACAATCTCTTGTCTGGGAAACACCAGCTGCTTAGATTCCACAAACCCAAACGGGCAGGCTCTCTGAGTGCCATTTGTTGGCTGCTGGTGTTGTTTTTTTTTCCGCTTCTTTTGATTTCTTCCTTACCTCTCACCACCACCACCCCCTTTCGCTCAAATACCTGGCTCCGTGCACCATCTTTGCTTCTTCCTGAGGGGGAGCAGAGCTCCGGTAATTTGTGATATACGCTTTCCCACTCCCTATCCTTTGTCACTCACACTCGGCCCCCTCTGCTTCCCGCGGACACAGTCTCTTGTCTGAGAAACACCAGCCCGCACTACCTGGCTCTCTGGGTGCCATTTGTTGGCTGCTAGTGTTGCTTTTTTTCCTGCTTCTTTTGATTTCTTCCTTACCTCTCACCACCTCCCCCTCCATTTGCTCGAGTACCTGGCTCCGTGCGCCATCTTTGCTTCTTCCTGAGGGGCTGTGGAGCTCCGTTCCAGTGTGGAGCTGATTCCTGATCTGGGCTGCCGCGCTGGTGGGATCCTGGGAGTTTTGTTAGTTTGTTTGTTTTGAATTGTTTGATTGTTTTCTTTTCCTTTTCTTGAGTTGGGAGCCCTTTCTGGCCAGGCGGTGCTGCGTGGCAAGGAGAGATCCCCCTCGGCTTGCACAGACGTGCAGAGGGATCCCTGAGAGCATTTCCTTTTTGTTGGGTTTTTTTTTTTTCTGTTTTTTTGGGGGGCTTTTCTTGTTCTTTATTTTTTTAATTTCATTTTCTTTTCCCTCTTTTCCCCTTTTTGTCTTTCTTCATTGCTCAGTTTCTTGTCTCTCTATATCTTCCTTCTCTTTCTGCTCCATGAATACCTGTGTTGTATACCTCTACGCCTTCTAGCCAGGCTGTACTGCAACACCTGAGAGAGACTTCCCCAAACCTCATAGCTGCACCGTTGGGATCCCTGGGAAATTTGTGGTTGTTTAACCTTTCCGATTTTTATTTATTCATTCTTTTCTTCCTCTTCCCCTTTCTGTTTTTCTCCATTTCATAGTCTCTCACCTCTCCACTCCAATGGCAAGCTACCCTAGCATACTTTTTTGTTTCTTTCTATGTTTTTGGCTCCTGTTCCTCTCTCCTCTCTCCCATATCCATCTTAGCTCCAAACATAACAATCTCCCCACTGCATCTTGCCTACCTGCACCATGCGCTTAACATCACACCACCAAGCAGCATAGGCATGGCCTACTGGAACCTGCCCTGCACTGATTACCAACCCGCTCTGGTGGCTGTAGTAAGTGTCACAAACAACCTGTCCCAGTCACTCATCTTCAGCTAGACATGCCATGCTGTTCCACATCTGACTCACCCTGCCAATTGGAGAAACAGATGAAAAGTATTGTGCCCACAGACAAACAAACAACAAACAACACACAGTCCGCCTGCTCAGACATAGTCAAGTTTTAACAAAAAAGGGATGAAACAAACAAATCTACAATCAATAAACGAGAAAAATAACTACTGAATGCCCCGAAGACAGCAGACAATATCAAAACATTTACAAAAACAAGACAGGATGGTTCCAGTAGGCGTCCAAAATAAAACACCAGATGACTCCCCAGTGCAAGAAAACGCACTAGAACTAGCTGATAGGGAATTCAAATCTCTAATACTCAGAATTCTCCAAGAGCTGAGGCAAAAAGCTGACAAACATGAGTAAAATATAGACAAATTCATGGAAAATACAAACAAAAAATTGGAAGAATTCAGGAAAATAATGCAGGAACAAAATCCCAAAATAAATTCACAACTAGAAATTATACAAAGGCAACAATTAGAAATCCAAAAGATAAACAACAAGATTTCAGAAATGGATGGTGTCATAGAAGGGCTGAGAAGCAGATTTGAAAC